GGAGACCCCGGGAATTGGATCGGGCCGCGTACCGGGTGTCGCGGAAGTGGCCGCGCGTTTCCAGATCCGGAAGGCTGTACTTTTAGCGAATTGGGACGCGCGAGCGTCCTCCCTCGCTGAACGGGGGAGAGGGGATGGAAGGGGGCGCGGCGCGCGCGGATCCGCGGGCCGAGAGGGGAACGGGGGAAGGGGAGGAAAGAAATGGACGAGGCGCGGGACGGGGGAGGGACGCGCTCCCTCTCGCTCGCCCGCGCGCTCGCGCGCTCGAATTACGCAACGAGCGGCGGCGAATCAAAAGGAAAACATCGCCGGTCGCCACGGTGTTCCGTTACTTCTCTCTCTCCCCGCGCCGAGTCCGGCGACCGGGAGGCTCGCGACTCGTCCAGGGACCCTGGATCGTCCTGTCGCCCTGCGCGCGGCGCGACAACGCGTCGGGGATGAAGATAAAATTGAAACTGCGGCCAAAGGGACGAACGAGATTGTGAGCTGTTTTGATTGATTTTTCAGGCTTAAGGGGATGTGAAAGTGGCATCCGAAAGCTGAATCGTTCATAAAACTTTTCTACGAACTGGGTGTCCCAAATCGTTTCATACTTTAAAACGTGAATATGGAGACCATGAGGTAGGTCCTGAAACTCGGGAAGTTTCATGTTTTATAAACTATTTTTAAAATACCTATAAACAAATTTGAAAGGAATTGAAATTTCATGAGTTTCAGGACCTTCCTTATAGTCTTCCTATTCGCGTTGTGAAGTTTCAAACTATTCGGTAAATCGAGTTGGGAGAAAAGTTTTATAAACAAAACCTCTTCGATGCCACTTTCACATCACATTAATGTATCGACGAGATAAGATCGGAGTCACACCGAACGCGTCAGGTGTCGCACTAAGCGCGAAGCGGTGGAGCGTCCGGGATGAAAACCCAATTGAAATCGAGGCAGAAGTTATGCACGAGGTTCGGGTCTTATTGGTTTTTTAGTTTTAACGGAGTCGACGAGACAAGGCTGGAGTCCCACTGACCGCGGCGCGTCGACGCGTCAAGGATGAAAATCCAATCGGAACTGCGACGAAGGGACTCGCGAGGTTAAGCGCGGTTCTGATTGGTTTTCAGTCCGGCTTATGCTTCCGCCCTAACCCTGACTTAACCCTAACTTAATTGTCCACTGGAAGGAATTCATGGAAACCGTTTATGTCTTCCTTATCAGAACCCTAACCTTTACCATAAGCACTCCCCGTGAATTCCTCGGCGATCGGACTCATCTTACGCAAACTCGAACTGAAGTACAAAAAAAAAAAACATGCGTAACTTAATGGGGTAAGTCACGGGGTATCGGTGTCTCCATGCACCCATTCGACGCCACCGTGACTTATGCCTCTACGTTTCCACGCGTTCCACTTTTTAGGTAGCGTTTGTGTTCGATGAGCCATGTATTCTTTCAAATATTCTTAAAATTCATACACTTTTGATTCGTAAGGTTGGGGTAAACTTATAAATTTCACGTCTCGAAAGTGAATTATCATACATTTATGACAAACTTTAAAATAAATTCGCAATTTTGCAACGTCACATCAGAAGTTTCTGAAATTTTATCGAAAAGAGATGAGCACGCTTACGTATTAAATTAACGTATTAAATTTGTTATACACGTTGTTTGGAAATCTTATAAAATTAGTATACCATGTCTAAATAATACTTCCAACAAAAGTTTTATCAAATCTCAATATTTTCTTTTAACGGTGTATAATAAGATAGGGTTAGAACCAAAGTGTAGACCATTTCCTTTTTCATTCTTTCCTCTTTGGACGCGGTGACGCGTCGCGCTCCGTGCGACGTGACCCCGAACTTGCGTGATGAAACTCTGGATCGGGGTCGGACTCTCGATCCTTTCCTCCCTCTTCGGGCGAATTTTTGGGTTTCCCGGAATTTTTTCCCCGGGAAATTCCCGGTCGCTGCGGCGGCGGCGCGGCCTCCGCGAGCCGCGGGGCGAGGCTCGGCCGGCTCCCGGCGCTCCTCCGGCAAGCAGCAACGAGGTCGACGTCCGGGCGTAACAAGTGCCGCCGTTGCGCCCGCGCGGCCGCGCCGTGCGTGCAGCCGCCGCGCCGCGCGACCCCTCCGGGAGATTCGACTCGACCCACGTGACGGTCTCGAGAGCCTCGAGGGTTTCGGAGGTGTCGAGGTAAATGCCGGATAAAAGGGGGGACGAACGGACGGGTCCTCGGCGGTCCGTTTTATTCCGGCCGCAGCCCGTTCTAAATGACGTCGATGGCACTCGGATCGCACGACCGATTAAGTTCATTCTACGGGGCGTTTCCCGGAACAGGTAAAGGGCTCGGATTGACGTCAGATTCGGTTATTACGGCAGTTAAGCCTCGTTTTCAAGTGTCGCGTTTCTTCTTCGTTCGAGAGTAAGAGGGCCTCTAATTTGTCGTAAGCGGGACTGGGCTTCTTAAGAGCGACGTTTCCGACAATGGCCTCAATGGAGACGCCGGGAATGCGATTCATTATTTTTAAATACACCTCTGGCGCGTAATCGCTGGTCTGGAGGGAAGCACCGGGAGGAACTGCTTCCGGGGAAGCACTATCTGTCGCAGGTAGTTAAGGTCGTTGAATCTCCCGTGACGAGCACGTGCTAAGCCCCTCTCGTGCAGTACGTCTACCCTTCTAAACCTTGCAAACGAAAGAACAAAAATATTCCATTTTCGGAAACGAGACTCCGCGAGGAAGATAAGATTTTTAGTATGCTCCAAATCACCCCCGGGTCGACTTACTTAAAACGCGACGGTTTACAAAATATCCCATAAATAAAGCAGCCTTCCAATCTTACTCGTACGTTTTTACGGAGCATGGAATAAACTCTCCGGTTTACGTCGATCTACATATTTGCATTAAACTCGAGAACCACTGGGCAGATTCAAACGCGTTTTCCCCCCATTCTAGAGCACCTCTTTAACATTCAGTAATACGAAGCATGAATCAATCGTAACAGGCCCCGAAACACTAACGATTTAACCGAATCAAGTCAACGAAAAAACGGCCATGCGACCGTCTCCTTAACACCCCGCATTGCATAACTTCATGACATATCGAGCCTACATCTCATACACTTAAACGCACCCGCTCCATCGAAATTAAAACAACATCCCAATTAAAATAACAAATATGTCCTCGTGGTCAGCAATCCCAGCTTCCATTCTAATTCAAACGAAACCCCTTGCAACGAACCGTCACCATGCCGGATGTCCGACAAGCCCTCAACATTCGCTCAACCATCGCGAGACGCGGGGGACCATTCTAGACGGCGCGCTTATTCGCCGTCCGCGCGCGCAGTCTGACCCCGTCGGTAAAGTCGGTCCCTGCGGCGCGGGGTTCCGGCGTCGCCCGTCGATTAGGTGGCCAGAGTCGGCGCGGGCCATCCGCGAAGCGTCCACGGGGGCCGGCGGCGGTGGCGGGAAATTTTTCGTCGGTTTCGTTGTCGAGGGGCACGGGGCGGCCGGTTCGCGGAGCCTCGGGTTGAGTCGAGGTCGACGCCCGGGCGCAACAAGTGCTGCACTCCGTACGTACGCCGCTGACACCCCCTCCCCCCTGGCCCGTGCCACCGCCCCGCTCCCCCTTTCTCCGCCGTGCGCCTCCCGCCCTACCCTCGCGAGCATGGAGCGTTGTATGCGTTGCATGCGCTCGCGACTCCCGCGGGCGTTGCGCCGCGGCCCTATATACACGGGAATATCTATCCTCGGGTGTGCGCGCGTACGCGCGACAGCCTGTAACACGTAAATATAAAACTGCACTGGGTCAGGGATCCGTGATTTATCGACTGCCTCGCGTAATTGGCCGGCGGCCAATAGATACCGGGGTGCACGGAGGAGGCTGGACGCGCGAAGAGCCCCGGTCTCGGGACGCGGCCGAAAAACAAATTCTAGGAGACGAGACTCGAATTCTCGTATATTTTCGCCCGCCTCGAGGTTTATTATTACTTCTAACTTTTCCGTTTTTCTCGGCTGTAATCGCGAGAGCGGGCACCCACGAGGAGAAGCGATGTACTCTTAGTGGGGGGGAGGGAAGCGCGCGGGTGGCCATCAGTCGGCACACTTTGACAGAGGTCAGAATCCACGTTGTCGCTAATCGATCGCGGCCGACCTTCGCGGTCGCGTCGGCCACGGTCGGTCGACTCGGTCGCGGCTCGTGGCCGCTCGGAAACGAAGATCGGGTGCGATGTACCTTCGAGGGGGATGGGGGGATCGCGAGTCGCAGCGATTAGGATCGCGGGTGTATCGGCGGGCCGCGATCGATCCGGCAAGGAGCGGTCGGAAAGCCGAGCTCCGCGATCCAGTCGACGGGTAACGGTCTTCGGCGCGGCCGTAACGACCGGCCCGCGACCGGCACCGGACCCGGCACGGCCAGGAACCGCGGAAGTTTCTCCAGTTTCAGAGCCGCTCGGCGACGCCGTGGCCGGCCGAGGAACCGATCTAAAATCGGATGCGGACAGCCACGGCGTATCGGGTGTCCGCTCGCCCCGCGTTCGACGTTATGAATGAAATTCGCTCTGGCGAACCCGTAGCGCGGCGCGACCCGGGCCGCTAAAAGCGCTGTGTTGGCGCCATCTAGCGGCGCGCCGCGGTATCTCCTCGCGAACCAACCTGCCGACGCGGCGAACCAACCTTACCGAGGTCTCGCAACCTTGCGCTAACCTCGCGGATACCGTATTTCACCCGACTACCTGTGCCACCTAACCTATGTTGAGAAGTATTTGTGCAGATATTTCATGCAACGTAGGATGGCGGTTTGGAAACCTTCGAATTTGCATACACTCGCTTTCGGTATTTGGGCGTGACGGGTTTTATCCGAATCCTCGGCGGAGTCTCTACGCGGGCATAAAGGGCATGGTCAAAAGTCGACGCTAACTGCAGCCTTGAAAACCGGTGAACTCGCCGCTTGCGGAAGAAGTTATCTCCGCGAGCGTGGCACGATGACGCACGGACCGAGAGGTTAGGAACGACATCTCACCTTGATGCGGCAAAAACCTTCGCCGCGACTGTCCCGCGGCCCCGCTCGCTCTCCCCGGCGCGGCATCTTTCTGTAACGATGGGAATGAAGTGTAGAACGATATGCGCGCGCAGGTCCCAACACGCGGCGGCTACACACGCACTTTCGAGGAAATATGAGCTATTCCTTTCATCACGGATTCGTATTTGCAAACATTGTCGTAGATCGGAGCCGTTGGATGTGGCAGCCGTAGTTTCGGGGAGTAGAGGGCCTTCAACGGGTCGAATTTGTCGCTCGTGCTCGACAAGCTCTCGTCCGATGAGCTCCCGCTCTCGGCCGCCATCTTGAAAACTGTGCGCGAAGCGTCGTCTGCTGGCCGCTCGATTTCAAAATTTCCGCCAATCGATTACACGTTTGGCAATCCTTCGGAACTCAAGATTAAACTCAAGATAAAATATATTATTAATTGTACTCTCTTTAACTTCTATCTTTCCTCAACTCATTCATAATAAAATAATCCACTAGGAAGTAGCGCGTCCTTCTTGAATGAACGCTCGTTACACGTAATCTTCCCCCTCTGGCGGTTAAAAGATGAAACGCAGATTTCTCAGTACTAAATGTCAGGTTAACATAACCTTGCCAGCAGGTGAAAAATCATCGGGGCACTAACAAAGATGCCGAAGGCAAATGGAATCCTCTGCATATCACTATACTGAACATTGACAATAAAAATATAAAAATATATTACTTTTCCGTAAACCTGCGAGCTCCTGCGAGCACGTTAAGGACTAGACAAATCGAATTGAGTAATGGGAGCTGTATATTTCATCGGTGGCTGATTGACTCCTAAAAATAGATAGCCTTACGAATTTGTCCCCTAAAAACGTGCATACTCACTCTCCTCGTTTAAGAGCCTTGAATGGTTCGAGAAGGACTCGAAATCTCTACAATATCGTTACCATTACTTACACACGCGTCTCCGTAATCGCTGAATGCCGATTCGACATTCTCACCCGTACGGCGGTTATATCCAATCAGTGCGTTACATGAATCACCGTTAAGACAGAGAGTGAAGGTAGAAAGTAACGCGCTCATCTAATGAGTTACGATCATCCAGGGGAAGGACAGGGCACGCTTCCACGTTTATTTATTTATTTTGAGGAGGACATTGCGAAATCAATTGTTCGCGGGATCGTTTCGAAGAGTGTTCCTTTCGCAGCGCGCTTCGCTCCGGTTCCGCGAGCGGGTCTTTTTTCACTCTCTCTCTCTCTTCTCTCTCCGCCCCGTCTTTCTCCACTCCTCCCCTCACTCGCTGTCTCTCTCTCTCTCTCTCCCCGTTAATAAGCTACATTCAAATAGATGGACGAGAGGATGTTAACCTCGGCGCGGTAGAAACTTTCTTTCTCGCTCGGGGATTACGTAAACGACTCGTAGAAGCTGCATAGAAATGCAGCGCCAGGAGAGCGAGGTTACGCGCACAGGAAGTGAAACAAGCTACAGAAAGAAAGTTTTCACTCGGTGTTTTCACTTTCATGGAAATGCCAGGCCTCATTATACCATTATGCACGTTAACTCCGCCGAAGCGTCCGCTCCGTTCGGTGCTCGAGCGCGGCATGGCCGAGCCAAGGAATCGAGGATTCCTCCGACGTAGTCGTAATTAATTGCCGAAACAACCGACGAATACCAATTTCGAGACAAAGGGTCGCCGATCCGCTCCTTGACGCTGCAGTTTGTGCGTAAATTTCTGCGCAGCGTTACTTTAGGTCCTGTAATCGTAGGGATTGAAGCGTCCGTTAAGGTTCTTTTAGAACGACGAAGGGCGCCGCCATTTTGAATTGTGCTGGAGCTCTTTCCACTCGTTTTCTGATTTTCTATATTGCTAAATATTTTCCACAAATGCAGACTGTACACGGAAAAGAACACCAATGGATTTACGTGTTTTTAATAAAGTGGGGGGAGGGGAGAAATTTTATTTATGGATGCAGTCGTTAATAATTACTGGGAAGTGAAAACATAAAAGTATCTGCACAAGAGGAATATTTGCACTACTTTGCCCGGCAAGTGCAGCTTTTATCAGTGGGGCCAGGAAAGAGAAATTAGCAAGGCAAACTTGCTACGCAAATTCTGTGATACCTTCAGGTTTTACAGTCACACCGGAGGGAGGGGACTATCGGTTCGAGCACGACTGAATACTGACAATGCGATAGCAGCGGGGTGGCAATAAGTAATTTCACGATGCGCGCGAGGAAAACCACAGCGAGTACACATAAATTGTTACGCGTTGATAACCAACAAAATTGCGATTCATCGACTACAGTACGCACCTATTTGGCCGCCTTTTTCTTTCGATTATCAGAATCAGCTCTATTCGATGAGTCCTAATTGTTGCGCGAATTCGGACTCAAGAAAACATTGAGAACTAATTTTTTCTCATCTACTTAAGGTCATACGAAAGTGGCATCAAAGAGGTCCCGTTTGTGAAACTTTTCTCCGAACTAGGCGTACCGAATCGATTCAAACTTTACAATGTAAACATGCAGGTCATAAAGAAAGTCTTAACACCCATAAAATTTCATTTTTTTTTTAATTTGTTTATAGACATTTTGAAACACTAAAATATAATTTCATAGGTGTTAGGACTTTCCTTGGAGTCTTCATATTCACGCGTTAAAGTTAGTAGTGATCTGATACACGCAATTCGGAGAAAAGTTTCAGACGATTGACCCTTTAGATGCTACATTCATTTCACTTTAAGGTCATATGAAAGAGTCAGCCTATATATATATTTGAGTGGTCAAATCGTTGATAAAAGTGTTCTCCGAATTGGGTGTACCGATTCGATTCAAATTTTACCACTTGAATATGGAAGCTCTAAAGTAACTTCCGAAACTCGTGAAATTCCATTTTTCATCAAAAATGTATTTATTTATCATGGATTAGAACCAACATGGCGTGGTCCTTTTTTCGATGTTTTCGATGTTTTACGGTTCTTGGGGGCTTAGAATCGAAAATGAAGAATTTTCAGTACTTAGCTCGAACAATTTAGAATACCGTAGAAATGGAATATTACAGAATCAGATGGAAAAATATAGAAATAGTTTCATCAACATTTGTCACAGAACGCTGGCTTGTCCTGCGGCCAGCGCGTGTTTTTAGAGCAAAAATTTAGTTGCAGCTAAACGTCACAGATGGCGACGTCGGTCCGTCAAAATATAAACAGTCATGAATTCACGGGATTTCGACAGTTTTACGTCGACCATTTTATCATTACTGAAATGACATATGGAATGCTTCAGTAGGTATAATTCTCAACGTAGGTTGTAAAAGACTTCATGAATATAAATGTCGGTAACGTGACGCGCCAATCTATGTTACACCTGGGTATTCAAAACGACATTACCACCAAAAAGGGTATAAATGAATTTAATTTTATCGACGTCGATTAAATTTCTCAGCGCCTTTCATATCATCTTACTCTTTGTCCATACTCATATCACACGATTCATACTATGTAGAATGTGCTGTTATAGTAGTGAGATTTTATTAGTTCAGGGGTAAAACAGTGCACTGTCGTTGAATCGTAAGTCGGACAAATAAGTGATGGACATTTGTTTTCAGAGGACAGAAGCAGAGTGAAGCACAAATACGTACCCGAAGAGTGTCCAGGAAGACACGGAAACAAGAGGCGACGACCCAGAAGGTGGTTTTGAATGTTAGAAGGTGCGGGGGTGGCTAGAGTGGCCCCACCGCAGGGTACGGGTCCCGATGCCGGTCCCTGTATCGCAGACCCTCACGCTGACCTCCACCCTCGTGCCCAAGGAGGAGTCAAACATGCCCTTCATAGACGACGAGCTACTCTGGTGCCCTGACAACGACGGCAAGATGGTCGACTTGACCCAGTGCCTTCAGGTAAGTTTCGTTTCCGTCTCGTTCTACACTTCTTATCGCAAATATCGAATCCAACACTAAAAATATTTCGTTGAATCAATAACATTCTTGTCGGTTCAGCCAGAGAATATGGTTATTATATGGATTACAACATATTTGGCTGACGTACATGTTTTGGTCAACAGCTTTTGGTCAACTTCTTGTCAATTACATCAAACATTGTGACGGATTGCACTGAATATTAAAGTAATTTAGTACATTTAACCAAGATATTTGGACTACTGGCTAAACTAATTTTGAAAATTAACAAAAAGATTTAACCGAAACGCTTTAAGTCGATTGAAAGGAACAAGCTTAGTCAAGAGAACTAAAATTCGGTTCACTTAGTCAAAAAGTTTTGTCAAATCAACTATATACAGTCGATCAAACGACATTGTCCAATGATGCAAATATTTTTATGCGTTCAGAGAAGGCATTAATGTCCGCACAGTACAATATGTAACTATTGGTAACATCAGGTAAAACACCTAAACGAATAAATAAAGTTGGAATTATTTTCTTTGGATGTACCGAAAATGTTTGCACGAAATTTGAATTCCCTTTCTGGGCAATCGAAAATAAGGAGATGAATAGAAAATTTGATGCATAGAATGTAACGTGACGTGGAGATTTTCAGTTTGCAGAAAATTCATTTGGACTCGCGATATGTCACTGTAGCTTATTTACTAAGGAAACCTTCCAGCAACGTATGCCGGGTGAATGCACAAGAGTCCATTTCGTCTCGCGATGCGTCCAATTAATTTCCCTTCGTGTTTCGGATAAACTCGCCGGTAAAGTAATCGAGAATAATGGCGGTAGAGTTTTGCTCGCAGCTCGGCGCATTACAATGACAATGGCCCTTCCGAGCACCGCGCGCCATTTGAATGGCCCGCGGTGCTCGATCGGTCCATGGTCAGCGTGTTGCCCGCCTCTGCATCAGCAGATACGTCGCACAAGCGGGCACGTAATGCCTCCGAGAAGAATTGGCATTGAAGTTGAGGCGATTGGGCGCATTCAAATTCTTATTATTCTACTTATACTTAACTCCCCACCAAGGCAAGAGCGTTAAACCCGTTTTGCGGTGCCACGTACCGAATACTTAACCCGAGCGCTTATACATAACACATTCAATTACATTTATTGCTCGGAAGTGCTTGCCACGAGAAGCCTGTTACTCCGTCCCAATCTTTAAACGTTCTTCGTTTTCTTATTCAACTTTGTGATAGAACAGTTGAGAGGAAGAGAGTGGGGGCAAGCGAGGAACCCGTAGCGACCGATCCGACATTCAGGGGGTGCGAAATCGCTTTCTCGGAGCGTCGTCGGAGGCACCTTGTGACGTCGAGATTTCTGTTTAACCAGGAGAGCAGCACGGGTCAATCGGTGGAATTCTCGGCGATAGAACTCAGCAGTTTGGTCGGAGCACCGGCTGCACCTAGCGCATCCTCGGAGGAGAGCGAGGGTATGTCCGGGGTCACGGGAGAGGAGCCCTTCGATACCCTGGACACGTTCCTGAGGGAGCTCCAGGCGGACCTGGCCGAGGCCAGTCAACCCACCTCCACCACCGCGCCCACGACACCCTCCTGCAGGCGACAGAGGTACAACATCGCCGCAGCTAATCCACTGTTAGCAGGTAAATGCCCATCGAAGTAGCGCTGCCCGTGCCGACTCGTCCCTCGAGATATCGCCGGCAAGTTTCTGTAAAAGTGCACCTTTTACTTTCAGAAAAGCTAGCCGCCCCCTCGTCGCAGGCCTCGCTCACCTCCATTCCTTACGCTGCGAGGGCGGAAATCAAGACGGAAAATATACAGCCCGAGACCAGCAAAGGTAGGAGCTTCATTGATTTTCGCCAACTGCTTGATTTGTTTACCTTATGCCGTGGCACGTGGAAACTAAATTGAATTCCGAACCGGTTCGAGAAACCGAGCTATAGTTTCCTTCTTTATCGACTGACGATGAAGAGGCGAACGGTACTTCCTGTTTAATCGATCTTGGGTATTCTTGATTTACCTGCGAGAAGTTAGTTGGTAAGGAAGTACACTACCGTTGGTAAAGAAAACACATACGTTACCAACGACTGTTAGTTACCTTCTAAGTTATTTTCATTTGCACGATACCTACGGCAGGTGTTTGTGATTTTCTGCTCTCAGTTTCCTATTCCAGCGGTTAAAATACATTACTACTTAATAACGAATACAATCATTAACTTGTTTAGAACTAGAATCGTTTTTCATCGACACATGTAAAACAGAATCTTGTGTAGTTTAGGTCTCAATCAAATTTAAACATTATAAATTTGTTATTCCCTTAGGCATTTACTTGACAAGCATATGATAACGTTGAGCACTATTAGGTACTGGAAATATTGCATTTCGTTTTTCAAAATGCGCGGTCGATTTTACTGGCAATATTGCTAATTTAAGTGATTAATGATTTTACTTGACAAACTTACGGAGCTTGTAATAAGGTCATTATCTTCACGAGAATTAAGTGCTCTTACGGTAACTTCCTTTTCTCTTATGGGTCGGTAACATAGGAGAGAATACAAAATATACCTACCTCCCGTCTGCGTCGCATTCCCCTTTGGCTTTTTGTTTTTTACATCTCTCCAGTACAGAATCATCCAAAACTTCGATAAAATCATCACCATGACTCTCTTATCACTAGGGCCTGCTTAAATTTAGTATCTACCACTTCTCGCATCCTAACCTATGCAAACAAAACCGTTAACACCGAAATAAGCATCACATGCTAAACATTACTTCAGTGCCATTTAAATTTTGAAATTATCTTTATAACTTACCAAAACTCTTTACCGACCGCGAAACCCCTCGCTATCCCACGTTCGCCAGATAATTCCAAAAGCGCCCGAGCGATTCGAATTAACTCATCCAACAAATTAACGCCCTTCTCTCGCGTAATTAATTCTTCACCGCTCAGGCTCGACACCTCATTTGTCAGTCCCACTCAAAAAAGAAGGAAACAAAACCGTCTTCTCATTCTTCCCGACTCGGCGGCCATCTTGTTTCGCGTCGATAAGAGCGTGCCGATCGCCAGGTTACGTAGTTGTCTTCGTTACCGACCGCTCTCGACGCGCTCGAGACCCACCCTAACCTCACTCCGCGCGGCTCATCGTCTTACCGTCGCGCGGAGAACGAAGTCTCAGCGATTCGCCGCTTCGAAAGGGAAATCGGCCAAGGCCCTGCGAATTGCGAACAGACATCCGCGTTAGCAGTAATTGTCCGCGCCCGTTCGTGTACTCGAAAGATACGCACACGCAGAGGCGCGCTCGCGTCGCCAAGGCGCGTGATACGAAGGTAGGGCGCGCGTGTGCGGGCCACGAAACGCGCGGTACGCGAGGTGGCCCAATTCTTACATTTTACAGCCGTGTCGTAACGCGTCGCGCGTGTACGTGCGATTTCGCGCCCGTGCGTTCTTTTTATTCCCCTGGCCCGGTCTCGGGGACGCGTATGTGCGTTAACACCGGTCATCGACACGCTTTTTTTCCTCTTTCTCTCTCTCCTTTTCTCCCGTAGTGCCAATATCGAGTCGCGAACGGCGCTCGGCCACGCAACGTCTGCTGACGCTCCGTATAACCAGAGGCCGTTTTCCATTATGTATTTATGTGCGCCGTATCTGCACGAGCCTTGCGGTGGTAACGACCTTTTATAGGCCAATCGGCAGCGAAGGAGATGGAGGAAGAGGGAGAGATCTCCGGACGGAGACGGAGACGGTTGGCCTTTAGCCCGAACGTTTAGTCCGATCAAAAGCACGGTCGAGTCCTTGAATATTCGCCGGCCCGCGGAGACTCGCGTCTCCGAGTGGACGCTTCCGCCATGTTTCCCCGGCGAACTCATAGGGGAAGGGAAGGCGTTCTTCGTTTTCGGATCGACGAGAAAGAAATCCTTACCCGAGTTTAAGTCGCCCATTCGGCTTGTAGGAAGGGCACGCACGTTCGCAATCGCATCGGATGTGTAATCGAGTACGACCTGCTTTTGCGATTCCTTACGTTCACGTTTCGAGTCACGCTTAATCGCGTGCGTATCGCTCCTAGTGACGAATTGCTGCACATTTGTTGTGTGCACGCGCAATCGCGTCTCGAGCGATCAAATAAAAACCCAAATTGCTCTGTTATTACGGCGTGGGACCGGAATTAACGAGCTTTTTCTTATTCGCTGTCCCAGGAAAAACGAACTCCTGCTCCATTGATGGTTTCAACTGAAAGACGCCTCCTCGCAGCGGAGTCCTGTGGAAAATATAAATGACTTTCTAAACTCTAGACATAATATATTGAATCAATTTCCGTAAAGGCCTTCATGGGTACCTCTCGTAACATTAACCGTAAGCATAACGGTAAGAACTGGTGAATCAAATTGTGGTATGGCGAACATTGAATGCCGTATTAAATTATCTGCAATTTGACTGGCCAACTCTTATGTCTACCATTGCGCCACCACGTACACGAAGGTCTTTACTCTGAATATCAATAAAAAATGCGAACTGTATAGCAGATGGCACTGGAAAAATTACAGGAATGAGGAAAAGTATCGTTCTTTCGTCGCGTCAAATATGAATTTATTATAAATAATGTTCGAAACTACGTCTTATTTTTCTGGGCATACCTCTCCTTCCACCCCTTATCTGTTTAAAGAGCGCTAAGCTGTCCCTTGGCCGCACGCTGTTCGGGTTTTTCCCGAACGAAAACGAAATTCGGGACAACTCGGGTTCTTTATGTTGGCCTTGAGCAGTTAGTTCTTCACTGAGATTCCTCGGGCGCGCATCGGTAGAAAAACTAAAGTTTCTAGGGCAATTTCGACTAATTCAGAGGCGATTGCATCCAAACTGGAGCCGTTATCCAGCTAGCAACCGAAGCTGCCTAACGTCCTGCGTGCTGATGAGGAGACCGAGCGGTCAATACATCCAAAAAGGTTTGAGTGCTTCTGGTAGATTTCTTTTTCCACCTGAGGCCGAGACTGCTTTCGTCTTGCAAGCATCCTCGAGAACGTTTTCGCTTCCAAGACACCTCTTTAGGCATCCAGAAGTCACTCCTTCTTTTTATTTCCAGAACTATTCGCCCATGAATTTCTCCCACCTGAGAATTGGATCCATTTTGTCTTGACGGCATTCTTGAAAACGTTTTCGCCTTCAAGATGTTCTTCCTTTTTCGGTTTTCCTGCTACGCCGCTTGACATCCTCCTTCCCCCTTGTACCGAGAGAAAGAGCCCGATCACTACTTCGAAACAAATACCCTCATCCGAGTTATAAATATTTATCTGGTTAAAGCGCCGAAGTTTGACGTAAAGACCTCAGGGACGTTATCGCGTATATGTAACACATGGTGTATCTGTAATTTGGCTACCGAGTTTGTGATATTTTATGGCTTTTTTGGACCAAGTCGAGTTTCAAACAGACTCGTCGAGTCGCAAACTAGGTCATAGCGTGAACTTTTTTTTCGTATGCGCGGATGAATGTGCGTGTACGCGCATTCCTAATATTCTCGTTGACTCCTTCTTATTGTAACGTACGAGCTCCGCACTCGACGTATTCGTACCGGTCACACGTGCCACTTTCGCCATGCCAGACCTAATCGTCATCGATTCTCGCGTCGATCATTGACGTGCCCGGCATAATCGATGCCCTCTTCGAATCATTACCGTGCGTCTTCCCGGCGCGGCCCCTTTCGTCGTCCTTCCCCAATGAAGGACCCGAGGAAGGTCCTGGCAGCCCTGACGCTGTTTGCTCGGATACTGTTCACCCTTCGCAGCCAGCTGGTCTTGCTGTGACACTTGTCGCCTACCCTTGTTCCTTGACCCTCCCTAAAACGCATAAATCCTCGCCAATGGAGTCCCCCTAGGGAATAGATCTTCCCGGAGGATCTTATACAGAGAGAAACAGGTGTATTATCGATCGATCTGTAGATCTACCAGGATATCCCACGTCCATCGACAAAACTGATCCTTTGCGGTTTTCTTCCATTGTTGATCCACTTTACTTACGTTTTCAGTCAATCATGGATTTTCATCCCAAAGACATCAACGTAATATGTCTAGTCAACATCTTGATTGTATGTTTACATTTAATTACAATCTACATTTTTATTCTTTCAATTTTAACCCTTTGTGACCCCTCTGGGTTTCTTTGAGTACGAGAGAAATTTTGAGTTGAAATGTTTATTGATAATATTTTGACCGTTGTCCCTAAACGTTTTAAGATATTCATTTAAAGATTGTTGGGTAATATAGTAGTCTTGGAAAATAGCCCTGCATTTTTGGCAAGTTTTTTAATGATTAGCGAGGAAGAAGTGGATCTGGACAAAATGTACAGATGTACTTAAGGAGGCGATAAAAGCGATAAAAATAACGGTAGTCACGGAGGGTTAAAAGAAGGAAAATATTAAGGGAGTAGATAGTGGATTTTCGACCTTCAGAAAGGATTCGAAGGCAGGAAGTGACACTAGGATTCCGCACGTTCCGCCTTGTTCCCTCCGCACATCCGTCTGCGGTGCATTTGCCGTCGATAGGCGGGATTGGGTAATTGGACTTCCTCGTATCGTCATACTCAAGTTTCGCTTGGAAACAGGAAAACCAATTCAAAATGGAGGTTTGTGGTAGAAAGCCATTGATCCGTGCACCGTTTCGACCTTCCGTTCTTAAAATTCATAAAAAATGCATGATCCACGAATCACGAAACAGTCCTAATCAAGAGGCGGTACCTGTCTCTATCAACCTGTTCGACTATTCTACGAATTCGCCATTTGAATTAGTGTCAAGGAATCACGTTTGAGAAGCCACGTAAAAATCCGTATTGCGTAGGATTTATTTACCATG